AATATTGAATATTGTAAATAAACATGGCACACCTCTCATTACAGAAAGCCTTCCAAAAAACAATACTGATAGTGACAGTAGCTGACTGGAATGATCACAAGTCATGGCCTTAGAAACGCAAATGATAATGTAGATGCAAATGAAAAAGTTTCTAAGGAATGTTTCAAGTTCAAGAAAGTATCATTGAGAAAAGATAAAGCTATCAATCAAATAAATAAAAGCATCCATACATTAAACCAATAACAAAAGTCCAAACATCAGTCAAAGTATAGTTAGCCTATCTCACTAGTAACTTGCACCGAGAACCTAATTATTTGAAAGTTTGACATGATAAAACAAAAACAAAAAAGAACACTGGAAGCCAGTATAGCCCTTTTCTACAATGAAAGGCAATTTTCACAAATTAATAAGGGTGTGTTGGAAAAATAACAGATTTTGGGGTAGTAAACTAAAACTCAAAAAATCCAAATTGTTCTGGTAACACACAACAAAAAACATAAGTTTTCTTAAAAGCAAAGCAATAAGCTAGGTGTGTTTAAATCCTGATGTGACCGATACTAAATATACTGCAAGCATTTGGTACTATTTCGATTCAGCCCCAAAGGGAAAAGGAGACAGATTGAGCCTATATGCAGCAGATAAACCTTGTAAAAAAACATGAACCCGTATGTTTTGAGACAGAAGATTACAAATAATTTTAAGAGATAAAAAGTACAAAACAAATAAAAAAGGAATGCCATTGTGGATTAGAATCACTAACATCAAGTAACACATTTCGTTTAAGTCTCCAAACTGTAACCTTATCTTCAATAAAATAAACTAGATAAATTGATTCACAATGACAACAGGAATAGCAAAAAGAAATGAATCATGTTCTTTTGCAGATTAGAGAAACATTCTTCAACGAATGTTGGAAAACAAGAAATCATATAGAGGTTGCTCACTAATTAACTAAAGGTAACCTATTGTTAAGTGAAAAATACCAGCAAAAGTTCAGGTAAGCGTATACATTATAAATCTTAAAAAACTATTGAATGCCAAAGACTTCATTAAAAACCTGGTAAAAATATAATGGCTTCAAAACTCATCTTAATTCTCATACAACAATATCATATTGAACATTAAAAATTTTACTACTAGTTAGTATACATATACCAGGTATAGAGCAGCACAGCCACCACAGTAAAGCAATTTCAACAGGAAAAGGCAAAGAAAAAGTTAAGTGATGACAGTTACAGATAGAAATTTTGTAAGATAATCACATTTATGTGAGAGAGACCATATCTGAAGCACCATGTTTCTTCCTCTCATTTTAACAAAAAAGAAGAATGCCTACTGTTCACTGTTACAAATCTGACTAATTCTATATTCTACTCTATCAATTAATAAATGCACAACACTAAGAGCAAAATAACAAGACCTAATTTTAAAAATAATGAGCATAAGACTAATGTCTTAGGAAGGGACGGAGGCGGTGAGCATCAGCAGTGCAACCATAACCAGTTATCAAATTACATGGTCGGCAGGGAGGCTGACACAGGAGGAAGAGGATGCGACTGCTGCTGATGAATATGTTGATCATCCTGAATATCATGTTCCATACTCCTTTCATGCTCAGAACGGCTAGAATCAGCTCTAGCATCCTGCTTACGACGCATTTCAAGCTCAATACGAAGTTGCTCTCTCTGAATATGATCTAATTGGTCATACTGCCCAAGTTGCTGATTTAAATGTTGACTTATTTGCTGAATGTCAAGATCAAGCCCCCTATCTTGTTTGTTATTGGCATCAAGCCTACCATCCTGCTTCCGCCGCATTTCAAGTTCAATCCGTAGTTGTTCCTGCTGATGTTGATCTAATTGATCATACTGCCCAAGCTGTTGGTTCAAATGTTGATTAAGTTGTTGATTAATTTGCTGACTTAAATGCTGGTTGATTTGTTGACTGAGCTGGTTCATTTGCTGGTGCTCATCCATTGGATCCATTGGGTGGCCTCTCATCATACCCATACGCTTCCTGCGGAAGTTCCTGTGGTAGAGAGAGAGGTGATTCTGCAAGGAGTTTGATGTTCGGAATGTCTTGGGGCAGTGAGGACAATTAGAGCGATGATTGGGCATGTGGCGATCCTCCATATGGCGCCGCAAACTTGCTTTCCGCATGGTCTTTCCGCAGATGTGGCAGGTGATGTAGCGAGTTGCCATAAGGTATGCTGGTCCTGAAACAATTAGCATATCTTGGTGACTGTTGACAATTGAAAAGATTACTTTAAGAGAGGGGATATAGACTATGCTATGCGCATGAGGACATGATTCTAATAAGCAAGCTGATCTTTCAAAGCATGATTAAGGAAAAAATTGTAATTGAGTGAGCGGATGAGACAAACCCCTTCTGTTGCTAGCACATTGAGATACCATTGTGTAATGACACCACACATTTACCTAAGTTAACTGACTACTTACCAGTTAAACTTCTGGTGTGGAAGTGTGCATACGTGTGGTGAGTGTCGTGGTTTGTAAACAATTGTCAAGTCAGAACAGGTACATTTTACTGTCTAAATTATAACACTATCAGTTAAAACTATAACATTCAGACTTTTAATTAAATGCAAATAGCACAATCTTTGGTAAAAAAAAAAAAAAAATGTTCCCAAATTATACTAGAACAATCTTAATTCCCGGCAGGTGGTGCGCCCATCGCCAGTCCATCAATATGAGCAGTTGCTCCAGCTCTGTGTGGAGGTCGGCAGCACATCACTGGGCGCGGGGGATGGGGCTGGCGAGGGCGTCGGGGGGCCGCACGGCGTCAAGGGATTGTTCACCTCGAGAGGCGCCATGGGCAGGTACTGGGGCGGCTGCATGTGCGTGATGACCGGAACAGCCGCGGGCCCCATGGGGCCGCAACCCCCAGCCGCCAGCGCCACCCCCGGGCTCGTCACCAGCGCGGCCCTGCCGCTCCCCAGAGCCACCCCCGTTTGGCCCAACGCGCCCGGGCCGGGACCCGGCTGCCGCTGTCTCTTGGCAGCCTGCGTGAGCTCGCGGTGGTACAGCGACAAGTGGTTCGAGAGCGAGTTGGCCGTGCGGAAGTGCTTGTTGCAGTACTGGCAGGTGGAGGCCTGAACGTTGTCCGAGTGCCGGTCCACCATGTGCTTGCGCAGGCTGCCCCTCTTCAGCACCTTGCCGCACAGGTTACAGTTGACGACCACCTTCCAACTCTCTGCAACGACCACAACATGCCACCAGGGCCATCAGCGTTCTGACCTCCTGACCAGTCCTGACTCACCAAGGGTAAAACCCTCCCCCACAGACCCTCACTGTATGTCACCCCCTCACTGTATGTCTACATCAAAAGGGAGCTTGGTGTGGTGCCTTTTGTAAAAGAAAATGTAGCCTTGAACCTTCCTGTTGCGAGTGCCAACTACAATCTAGTATCAGAATATTTTCAAGAATGCATTACAATTTTAATCAAAAATAGGATATAATTTAAGATTTTTGTTTATTTCAATGGTAAAAAATAAACACAATGATTTCAGGCGCAAAACAAGTTGTGTATGATGAATTTGTACTGAGGCACAATTTTTTGATAGAAGAAAAATTGAAATAATATGTACAAAATTATGATAATAACAATTACATAATTTTTGTTGGCATCTAAATTCAACCAACATTTCAGTCAGTGCTTTGCCACGGCCCAACACAATCAACACAACATTGAAATTGCAAACAAGATTTCTTTGGTATACTGCACTGATAGTTAGCACATTCTGAATCCTACCTTATGGCAAAACAAAAATATTTCAATAGAGTAGAAAACTAAACTGTACAAAGTTCTCGTTCATAACAAACAAAATTCAATTTTTCATATATGTACATATAGATAACAAATCACATGATACATAAACTAATTATTTACACAGATGAAACAAGTTAGTGCACGCACAAAATTTACATTAATCCCATTAAACTAAACAAGTGTGCTGAGCCCACAATAATGATGCAACCAGAAAATTATGATCATGTGCACAATGAAAAATACTGTGAAGAATCACAAAAGTAAACAAGCTAATACTCTAGTGGAAATCAATGCACTATTGTACAATTACAATATGTGGAAAAAACAACTTGCAATACTTTTGAGATGTACTGCCATAAATTTCAAATACCTAACAGAAAATAAACGAAGAATTTTAGGAGAGCTTTAAGTTTTAAGTAGGAGGATTTCATCCCTTCTGAAAGATCAGAATTGTAACAATTCAGGTAATACTGGAACTATAAATCAACAAAAGCATCAGCACATCCTGCACAATAACTTAAATGGATAGTCAAACAGTAAAAATCACAGGTCTCTAGAATACAAACAATAAATTTCTCACCACGAGAGAATAGTTCAGCTAGTGACTGCCAATCTTTTAAGATTAAATTGAAAACTAGCAAAAAATACAGGATTACGAACCAAAATTCTGCTAAGTTTTAAGACATAACACATAATTAGATATTTGCTCCATCCAGCCTTGCATCTATATGTGATTCAAATAAATTAAGGAAGAACAAGCGGCACAAAGAATGAACTTCATGTCTGTTAACAAATTAAGATATTGAAAGGGATAAACAGAACTAACAAAATAATAAAATACTGGAAATTGGCCTAGAACTAAATCTGGAATGAACACGAGGATGACGACTAGACTAAACAACCTTTCCCTTATGCATTCGATTTGAATCCTCATCTAACAGTAATAAATTATCTCCTTTCTAATTTATCTGGATGATTATCAACCGGCTCGCACCACTCTGCATCCACTGGAGCATTACTGGAACAATGGTTGTGCTCGCCTGATACCTTCACCACCTGGAAATTCAGCGTTTGACAGCGGCCCTTGCACTTGGTGCGCCTATATTCCGAACACCTCCAAATTATCTTCGAATAGTAGCGGTCCTCCCGAGTGTAAACGTAACCGGCGTAATAGAGTTGGAAACCTCCTTTCCTCGTACGGAAGTACCCTTCCTCGCGCGGAACGGGCTCAGCTATCATCCCTGCACCTACAATAACACAGAGGCACACCCATTAGGTCTATACGTGCCACACGTGTCCCTGCAGCTGCTGCTGCAACTGCTGCAGCGGCAGCGACTGCTGCTGCGGCTGCTGCTGCTGCTTGTAGTCCTGCTGCGGCTGTGGTTGCTGCATGAGCGGCGGCACGGCCCAGTCCATGACACTCATGGCTTCCTGGCGCTGGCGTCGCTTGCGGATCGTGTCCGTGTGAGGGGGGTGCTCGTGCGTGCCGGAGGTGCGGGTCACGTGGCCATCTACAGTATGGCACAGGGCTCTACACTTGGACCTCTGGTAGTCTATGCACCGCCAGGACACCTTTGAGCCCTTGGCCTCGCCCTTATAGTACATGAACTCGTTGAGCACCAGCTGGACGCCGCCTTTGGTGCTGCGCAGGTACTCCATCTGCGTCGGGACATTGCCTACAAAACACACGGGGGTCAACTACACACAGCCTCTCTCGCATGCCCTTGCCCTAAAGCGCGCTGGTGGATGGTATTACTAAGTGTCAGTCAGCTGCTGATTTTGGCGCTCGGCCATTTTCTTCTTAATTATCTCGGGCACAGGGGGGTGGCAGTGCATGTCCGTCACTTTCGTCACTTTGAAGTCGACCGTCTGGCAGCGGCCGCGGCAGCGCAGCCTGAAGTACTCCATACACTTCCACGAGATCTTGGTGCCGCTGCGATTCTCCTGGTTGTAAATGTAATTGGCGTGAACCAGCTGCACGCCGCCCTTGTTGGTGCGCAGAAAGCGCGCCTCCGCCTCACCTACGGGACAGAACGGAAGGGGAAAGGACTCAGCTCAGCTCCTCGAGGGGCGGGGCGGGGCGGGCCATCTACAGTGCACTGTTTGGACACACTGGCTACGGCCACACGGCCAGCCTCTCCTCCTCCTCCCTGCGCGCGATCTCGCCCAGGTCAGGCGCGTGGTTGTGCTCGCCACTGATCTTGACGACCACGTCGTCGACCGTCATGCAGCGGCCCTTGCAGCGCATCTTGTGGTACTCGTGACACCTCCAGGTGTGCTTCCTGTCGCCCGCGTTCCCGGTGCGGCATTCCCGAAAGAACAGGAAGCCGTCGTGCACCAGCATCTTGCCGCCCTTGCGGCTGCGGATGAACCGTGAGGCCGGGGAGTGAGGGTGAGGGTACCCCCCTGGGTCCCCACCTGGGTCACCACCTACACACAGAAGCAGGCATTACGACTCTACTGCAGGCTGGCAGCCGCTTCCATCGGGGTGGCCATGTCCGCGAAGGCAGCGGCGGTGAGCGCGGCGTCCTGCGGCCAGCCGTGAGCGGGGGCGGGGTGGTTGTGCTGGCCACCCGTCACCTTCAGCGCGCCGCGGAACGTGACGCAGCGGCCAGGGCAGCCGGACTTGTAGTACTCCGTGCATGTCCAGTAGGTGCGCTCGCCGCGCTGCTCCTTGCAGCCGAACAGGTAGCCCTCCACGTACAGCTGCCGCTTGCCCTTTCTGCTCGCCACGAACGTGTAACCTACGGGCAGCGCGGCCACGGCAGGGCCGCACACAACACCTTAGCAGCTGGCAGGTCGTTCCTCCCCCATTCGGGCTTTCAATCCCTTTCGTCAACAACTTCTTGTTATTCAGAGCGGTTAGTTCAAGTGGATGGCCCACATCAACTGTCCTTTCAGTCATCGTGTCTTACAAACACGGCAAGCATTCTTCTGGCCAGTCTAAACTGAGGGGGAGTAATAGACTGCCCTACCCCGACTTGAGCACCTGAGTTTAGTGTACTTGTCTGATCAGGTCTCCCTTAGAACTTACGAGAGCCTTACTTTCTACATAAATAAAATTTGATGGCTTAAAATATGTCATAAAGAGAAGTATGTAGTTTTCAAAGTAACCTAGAATAGTAGGCAAAAGCAAGCAACGGTTTTCAAAAATTTCTTGCCTGTAATACTTAAACTACACATGATATGGTATACAATATAAATAATATATAAATATAATCTTAACCATAAATTCAAATGATTACAACTAAGCTAAACTCTTTCATGATTGCACCTTGGACAGCACTAATACACTCATTGCATCATCTTAAACTGGATACACAGATTCAGATGGACCAACATCAAATATAGGAGGATGTGTGTGAGGAGTTGCAGAAGGTCTTATAGTTTCGCCATAAGTAATGCAACGTGCCTTGCAATTCTGACGATTTAACTCGGAACAAGTCCAATAAATTCTGTCACCAATACGATTACGGCTGTTGACATAATACATATAGCCGTTATATGGTAACTTTGTTTTGTAACGACCCACCCTACCTGAAAATGAAAATGAAATTTGTGTTAACGTTATCTTTAAGGTTCATCTAATCATTCCATGGTGGTGGTGCTTTGCATATGATAACCCCAATTTTTCTCAGAAGTTACGAGCACTAATCAAACATTTTAAATAAAAGTCCAAAAAGTTAAAAAAATAAAATTTAAGTTGCAAGAATTTTTCATTTTCACCCTCCTCCACTTTAAACATCTTTTAAGCAGTGATTATGGGGCTGTCCAAGGAGCATCAGGTTTTTCTTCTCATCAGTGACACAGCGAGCTAGACAATTCTGATCCTGATCAATGCACTTCCAATATGTTGCGCCTTTCTTGGTTTTGTTGGTCCTTTTGTAGATGTAGCCTTCATGAAGAAGACGAGTGCTTCTCCCACAAGAATGAACCCAATAGGAAACTAATGAGACAAAAATAAGGAATCAAATGAAATGTCAAAGCAGCACACAGTGCAAGTGCCAAAATTTTTCACCTTCATAATTAAAAAAAAAAAAAAGAATTTGGGCAGCAGAGGTGTGAAAAGGGAGCTCTCCAACAAAATAATTTAAGGTATGCAAAAAGCACTGACAAATGTTGAAGTAATTTTCTTTAAAACTCTCATGAGTATTAACAAATTAGGGAGAAAGTACAGTATTAAGAGCATACCTTCTCTCTTAGGGCTTACATCTTCAAACTCAGCAGGCGCTACAGGAGGACCAGAATTGTTCTGCCCAATATATCCTGACTCACTACACTGACCATTGTTTACTGCAAACAACCAACCAAACAATTATGTTACACAAGTAAGTCATAATCAAGGATGGTGTTCATACAAATTTCAGTTTAACATTCATTTCCTTTAAAACTAATTCTGGAGATAACAGAATAGGAAATAAAATAAATACAGCAATCCCTCTCCACAATAACAATTAAAATTTGACAAGTAACTACTTTTTATATACAGGAACATATAGCTTAACAGTGTCAAGAAACCAAGTAAAGTTATGTTACAGAATGACAAAACATGGAAACACCACCTCGCAGACAGCAAATTAGGGTATGAGAATGACAGTGTGATTTACTGAGGCTACTGAATTGTGAGTTATAATTTTGACATACTTTTTTTGAACTTAACAGAATACAGTTAAGTCACATCACAGCAACCATGTGTACAAAGTGTATAAAAAATGATGTAACTAAAAGTGTCTGAAGTCCCAATTTGATATTGTAAAAATAGATATCTCAATATGCCTATGAGCCAAAACTCATGTCTTAAACCATTCCTCATGCGCCTAGCAGTCTTGCTATGATGAAAACATTGCTTATAACTCTATAGAAATGAGGGGCGACACTTACCATAAACATGGAGTAATAATCGCTGTAATCCTTTGCAGTATGCGCAAATGCAATCTTCTTCTTGTTCAGTACAAGAAAGTGCCTCAACACAGTACGGCACAGTAGCTCAGGAGTCATAACAGAAGTAATAGTGTGTCCAAACATGCACTGTAGACAGCCCCCTACACCTCACCGCAGTTTGCGGATGACTAACAATCATGCAGCAACCAAGGGCCAGACAGCTCCATAAACTGGCAATGCATGGAGTTCAGGGATATTAACGGCTTCAATTTTCCATCCCTAACCATACCATTTGTTTCGAAACAAATATGAGACAAACAGAGGGAGCAATTAATTTGGACCAGCAAGTACTTAGATTTTTTACTATAGCACAAAACAAACTATTATACACGAATGTGGTCAAAACAAATGCCATGGTAATGGAAATTCATCAGAAACAAACCTAAAATATCTCTGCCTTCCATGCAAAGTCATGAAAATGGCCCTTAATTTTGAGCTGCTTACAAGAGATTACCTTCAATCACTAAAACATATTGTTTGGGCAAACAACAAGTTTGATAGAAATTGAAACTATCTTAATACACCTATAACACCAAATAGCTTCCTACAGTACTTAGTTACACACACACAAAAAGACTGACATAATGTGGTAATAATAGTATTGGACAGACTATTTCAGAAAGAGTTTAACAATAATGCTTCAGTTCTGAAGCTTAAATGATAACAATGGACAGGCCTTGTACCTTACAATAGACAAAGTATATGTCTAAGGGCAAGTACTACCCAAAGTAAAAATGCCTAATTAAGGGATTGGAAATAAGATATAAACATGTAGATCGAATATTAATTTAAGTAGCACCATAATCATTGTAAGATGTCAGCTAGAGGCTTGTCACAACTGATTAATATAGTGTTGTCATTTCAATTGAGTCCCATGGTAAAGTCTAACCAGTACCTCCAAACTTCCACCAGTCCATGTGTTATGTATGATTCCACAAAAATGTAGTCTTTCTCTACTGCCCAATCGGTTAGCAGTAAGGAAAGAAAGTGAATGTCATGAGCATCTCTACAGTCAGGGTGATTTAGTGCAACAGGCCGGGGTAGGCACATATAACAAAGACACCACCAACCCTCCGCTCACTCAATAACAAGGGTTGTACCAATGTACTTATGCGAGGGGAAAAAAAAACAGACCGACAGTCAAACTTAGTAATGGGGAATGAACCATCAACCAGCTTGCTTGAGCAACATATACAGGTAACATACGACAGCAGGAAGATGGACTCTACAACCCTCATTAGGGTGACAAGTTAAAACAACAGAGACAGAACCATCCTCCTGCTATCATTATGCAGCCCTTATTTGTGCAATGGGAACCCTACAATTTGTTTTGACCACATGCGAGTACAGATTTTATTAGATAATAAAAATTAGAAGTTATGAAGATAGCAAATTTGCCAGATTACCACTGTCTGCTTCTAATTTCTATAGCTTCCTCACTTCTATGCAAGCAAAATTACTGAGGATTGTAAAAAACCTCAAGGCCCTCAAAAATTGAAACATAAAAGTAAGGAAGTTCTAAATGACCGTTTATTAAATTTAATTCAAAAAACTACAACTGACCTAAGTCATGGCATTTTCAATAAAGATATGAAAAAGAAAGGTTCCTCTTAAGATGATATTGAATGAGATATCACTGCCTTGACTTCATGGTAAGTTGTCAGTGTTCACACAACAGCATAAATAAAAAAAAAAAAAAAAACAAGTTGTTTGAATTAAGTACTGATTTCTTAGTTGTAAGAAAGGAACTGATCACAATATTAACAGTAACTACTGTGTGAACACTGACCTGCAGGAAGTTTTTTTTTTATATATATAAATAAAGGGAGTTTAGCTTACCTTGGCCTCCATCTTGTCCAACGTTGCCATCTTTCATTCCAGGTAATCCTACGAAGTTTCCAAGACCTAAAAGCAAGTAGAGATGTATTGTTATACATGCATAGAAATGAGAAATTTCAAATGCAGTTGGTGGTTCACATTACCTGCCATACCCTTAGGGTCACCACCTAATAGTTGTTGAACCAAAGGATCGTGACCAACTGAGTCATCAGCCATCATGTCCAGTCCATCTTCCGATTCATCATATTCTTGAGGTTCCATTTTGGGGTTCATCATATTCATAAAGTCATTTCCATCTTGGAGTGCCTGGTCATTACTAGGGCCTTCAGGGGGAGTTTGCGGAGTTACATCAACAACTTGGGAGGGTGTAGTTGGTGCTGAGGTGGATGGGAGCGGAGGAGCTTCTGATCTCTTGCGTTTTGGAGGCGGATGTGTTGATGTATCTTGAGGTAATGAGTGTGTTCTTGAAGGAGCTGAATTTGATGAAGTCTTATTAGATGTTGGTTCAGCTGATTCCTGTAAATTAAAATTGCAAAAGTGAGTGATCACAATACAGTTACATACTACAATATATCTCATACGGAACTTGTATTACCTTTTTAGAATCACTACCAGTTAGACCTTTGATTTGTAACATTTCAGCAGTCTTAAGAAACATAGCTAATTCTTCTTGCCTTACATTTACTTCTCCTCTATACATAAATTGAAGTAGGGCTTCTAACTCCTTATAACCCGTGTCTTTCAATATCACAATTGGGTGCTTACATGGATTGACCTAAAAAACAAAACAATTATAATGTATATCTTTTTTGAAAGAAAACTTAAAAGGGTAGGAAAAGTATAAAAAAAAACTTACCTTAAATAAATCTTTAAAATATGGGCTACACACAGATAATACCATTTTGTGTGCCTGTACAAATTTGCCTTCAGCTGCTATAGTTACATCAACTAAATCTTCTCCCAGAAGTAAATCGTGAAAGCCTGCTGTCAGGTTATTGTGGAAATTATTCCACCTAAGTGAAAACTGTTCAGCATCTATTGCCGTCATTTTCCCTATCTGAAAAATAAAATAAAATGAGATTATAATTTCCCAAACAAACAGAATTACTACTTCAACCAAAGATGTTGTTTAAATTAGTTTGAAATGAAGTGTAACATTAAAAACTTCTGCCTTCCTCAACAATGGGACTGCACAGCATAAACAAAGAGAGGAGTATTGCAAGGTATTTACTCAGATCTAAAATAAGATCACATCACTCAACAAGCATATTTTCTTCCACAAAATGGAATAAAATAACACATGGCAACTATGAAAAGTGACAATAAAACCGAATTTACAACAGGGGTGACGCTAACAAGAACCGATTACACAATATGGCTACCGGCATCTGCGGAATTTCACGAGGACGCCAAAAAACCCAGGTTCCTAAGAACATGGATCAATAAAATCTATCTAGAAACATGGACCGGTTCGTGCGCTCAGTAATTCCCACAAAAAACGAAAGCATTTGACGAAAAAAGGTGCAAGGTTCTCGTACTATTTAAAAAATAAATGGGAGTAATACAAACATATTTCAAAAGAGAAAAAAACACCACCACGCTAGGACGGCAAATCTATCACAGAATCAAAGGCAAGCCAACGAGAACTAATATTTTAAGTTTCGGCTCCTCTCATAATTTTGAAATACGGGAACCGATACGTACACATAGATTTATTAGACAGCTAACCACGTACCTTATATCACAATTTCCTGATAGGAAATATTCCAAGATAAGCCGCACCTCGGTGCCCCAGAGCACCGCCCACGAAGGTAGAACTCAAGAGGACTTTTATCAGTCAAAACTTAGGTTTCTGAAACTACTTCAATGCTCAGTCTGTTCCTTTGGTTACGAGCATCAACAACGAACACACAAACCAAAAATAATAGCAACTTGCGTATCAAAACTACGTTAAGTTCATCTTCTTGTCTTGGGAGGCTTTGTCATTTCGTCGGAGAGAAGATGGACGCTACTAAGCTTTCCCGATCACCAAGCCGCTAAATGTGATGTAGTGCTACCAACGCACATGTATGCAAAACAGAATTTCCCCGAAGCGCGAGAAGGGAAACCCATTTGCTCCTTTGGTCCAAAGCCTGTATTTGAACAAAATTAAAATGATTGAAATCGTAATGTTAGAAACAGGAATGATTTGGAAGAAGTTCTACAGGAAAACTTTAGAGGAGTACAAACCCCTGCCCAAACTTATGTTGGCAGTTGATGTCTAGGTCTACTCGGATTGCCAACTGTAAGAAAAGTCCCAGCAACGCTGACATTGTAAGTTGTGGCCAAGTTGCCTCTACGATATTAATAAATAGCACAGTATAAGTGTCGATAAAATTATTATGGATAAAAGGTGTACGAGACGTACACGGCGAGATTGTTTCTAACATCAAAAATTGACTGTAAGGGGTGGCTACGCTGTACGTTGGGTGGCCTACGTACACGGCTGATGGCGGTTGGAAGAAGTGGAAGGAGGAGCCCCTCGAGAGCACCGAGACCCCTAGGGCCTCGTTCACAATTCCGATTATGGGGAAGGGGTGCATTTCACTCACACCCACGTAAAAGTCGAGGAGTTTCTCTTTTCCCCCTTGCTTTTCTACGAACCGCTTGCGCCAAGTGCAGCAGCTAGAGTTGCCTCGTATGCAGTCGGGTGTCGGGTGGCAAGCAACTGGTTGGGCTGGCGACCACACACGTGCACAGTGCCGAGCTCGCAACCAAAACAGACAAGCACAACATACACACACCGATAGCCAGCGTTCGAACGTGAGCACCGGGTTAGCTTAAACACTGTGAGCAGTACAAGTAGACTAGTCTCCATATCGCATCGTATTTGTTGCCGATTTCGAATTTCCGCAAGATGACAAGAGACAAGATCTTTTTTTGCAGCATCATCCCGCTCGCTGCCCGCTCGTATATTAAAAAGACAAAGACAACAGGTGTACTCTTCATCAGATTTCATCGCTTCGAAACAGGCCGAGCGACCGAAACAGCAACACCTGCTTCGGCACAGGCCGGCTGGAATGTAAAGCAACCGTGCAGGATTCAAAACCAGTCATCCGGCATCCGTTTGGCTAAGTTTGTGTTGTCATCCTTGACTATTCAAAACACGTCTGTTTAACGCACTGAATCGGTGTTGGCTAAATGGGTAATGGGTGTTCAGGAAATTTCGCACCACGACTATGGTCAAGATCGACATACACCACCGCCGCTTCATGTTCTGACTCGGACAGGCAAGTCGGCAAAGGCGTTGCGGCTATCGTGGAGGCTGTGACCAGGGGGGCGCGCGAGGGCCGCGGCAACGGGCCTACGTGAGCCCGCGGCCGCGGGTCGCTCACTGGGGTGTGGCGGGCGTTGTGTCAACTGCGGGCATGGCCTGGGCCCCTCGCTCGTACTTGGTCAACTGCGGGCAAAGCCTCTTTTGACGAGGGTTCCGGGAAGCCGAGCCCCGCCCGCAGGCTTGCCCGGAGTGCCAACTGCGGGCACGGGAGTGCTGGGTTGCCTACCCCGCCGGCGCTTTCTGCCGCTCTCGGCCGTAGGCCTACTTGCCCCGCGACTAGCGTGCAAGGTCATAACTTGCACACGTTGTTCTGCAAATTCTGCACACTTATTTTACCAGTGTATGCAACTGTGTTTCTTTGAAAATAAAAAGAAGCAAACCAAAACTAACAAACCTAACTAAATACAGTTAATTAGTAATGATATTAGACTATTATCTATGCATCGAAGTGTCTATTTGAAATAATAAGAAGCAAACCACAACTAACAAACCTAACTCAATACATAAAATCAGTAATGGTGTTATTAATGCAGCGTACGACCCCTGACTTCAGGAATGAACACATTCCATGCTGCTCATTTTTGGTGCCTATGACATTACTTGGGGAGCGTGACCACATGGTGGTCATGCCACAAGCGACGTGTTAAGTAGCGCTAATGACGCGTGTGCACTCAGTGTGCCGTCGGAACTCCGGCAGGCTGGGTGCCGGGTGCGGGAAGCGGCAGAGAGCGCCGGCGGGGTAGGCAACCCAGTACTCCCGTGCCCGCAGTCGGCACTCCGGGCGCCCCGGGCTTCCCGGAACCAGCTGTCAAAAGAGGCTTTGCCCGCAGTTGACCAAGTACGAGCGAGGGGCCCAGGCCATGCCCGCAGTTGACCACGCGCCGTGTGGCGGGGTGGCGGCGGGGGAAGCCCAGCCCAGCCCCCGCGCGCACCGCTTGCTGGCTTCCGCCCTCGCGGCCCCCTTCACTCGGCACACGGCGCAGTTCTCCTGAAATCTCGGAAGGGGAGGGCGTGCACGAGGGAGGGGTTCCGGGAGGGCGCGAACGCGGGCTGCCCCAGCGGCAGCGGCGCACCCACGCCCACGCCTCCACCCCTTTCCGTGGCGGTGACCTCCCCGCCCCGGGCGGCCCGGCGGCTCGGGTCCGGGCCCGTGTCCTCCGACAGCACTAGCCGCGGAGCTGGTGCCGCGCCGTCTGGGCCGGCCAGCCGCCTCGGTCGCAACGTTGCCGGGGCTGCGGCGGGGCTGCGCCGGCGGTGCGCTGAGCGCTCGCGGCGCGCCCCGGGCTGCCCCGGGC